ATGAGAGTATATGATTTCTTTCCAAGGTAGAAACCCATGATTGGGAATTGCGCGCGAAGAGTTGTAGGAACGTGTGCAGCGCCACATATCTATTTGAAAGATAAAAGATTCGGGTACGGGGAATCGAACCCCGAGCTGCCGCGTATTTGCACTTGAGAGGCGGCAATGTTAGCCGTTACACCATACCCGAGTTGAAATATTTATCCCTACAATGATTCCCATATCATTATGATTGTGCATTGCCAATGATTGCCAATGGTAATCCCGAATATTCACCGCTTCTATGGACAGTGGCACCATCATGAGTCTTGCCAAGTACCATGACGCAAGTACCATGATGATGCCCGCCTAAACCTACTCTCCGATCAATGAAATCTTATCGAGTCTGAATCAGCAAAGGACACGCGTACATTCGAAATGTATATAAGTGGCAGCGCATGAGCATGCCGTGCGGTGACTCCCCTCAGTTCTCGCAATCTCTTGACGTTTCTCTCCTTGATCCACAATAATGGCCTCCCAGCAAGTCGTTCAGCACGAGTTCGATCCCAAGGACATGCCTTTCAGGCGCCTGGGGCCGAGTGGCCTGCGTGTTCCTGTGTTCTCGCTAGGCGGATGTGAGTGAGGTCTGCATTATCTTGGTCTAGGTGGTGACGAAAATCTTCTCATTGGTGTGTAGGGCTGACGCTCGGTGGCTCGGTTGTGGGTGATCCCGTAAAGGTTCGTGGGTTTTATCCTTCAGATATTCTGATAAAAATCGACTGACGAGGAATGACTTGCAACTGTCCAGGATATCATTAAGACTGCCTTCGATGCTGGAATCAACATGTTCGACACTGCTGAGGTCTACGCTGCTGGTAAATCTGAGCTCGAGATGTACGTTCTGGACCATTTTTGAGAACTTCATCTTTCAACGAGTCTGATAACTGGTTTAAACTAAAATTCAGTGGTCGGGTGATAAAGGAGCTTGGATTGCGCCGCACAGATCTTGTTATTACCACCAAGCTCTTTTGGGGTCCGCGCAAGGGACCAAACGACAGTGGTCTGTCGCGCAAGCAGTAAGCTTCAAACCATTCGATACGATGAGGATTCTCATCATTTCTAAAGCATCATTGAGGGAACCAAGGAGAGCTTGGAGCGTCTCGGTCTCGAGTATGTTGATGTTATCTTCGCGCATCGTCCTGATGGGACCGGTATGTCACCACGCAATTTACATGCTCGATCGAAAGTGACATAACCATGCATGTGATAGTTCCCATCGAGGAGACCGTCCGTGCGTTCAACTACGTGATTGATAAGGGACAGGCGTTCTACTGGGCCACTTCCGAATGGAGCGCGCGTGAGATCGAGGAGGCTTACCGTGCGTTTTATGTTCATCGTTCCTGGTGCTGCGTGCGGGGCAAATTCTGACGTGCAAGCTTGTCAGACGTCGCCGAGAAGCTCAACCTCCAGGGCCCAATCGCTGAACAGTGCCAGCACCAGTACGCATAGCGCCACATTTATCTCACCACATCCTGACAAATTTTCGACAACAGCATGTTCCACCGCGAGCGTCCTGAGAAGGAATACGAGTAATCATCATTTTCTTCTAGTGCTATCCGCATCCTCCTGACCACAAATTCCAGCCCTCTGTACAGGAAATACGGCCTCGGAACTACCACATGGTCTTCCCTTGCTAGCGGCCTCCTCACTGGAAAATACAACGACGGAATCCCCGAAGGCTCGCGTTTCGCCACAACCACCTTTTTCAAATCTACTGTCGAGTCGCTGAAGCAGCCAGAAGGCCTCGAAAAGATCCGCAAGGTCAAGGAACTCACGAAACTCGCCGCCGACGAGCTCCAGACCACCCCTGCTGCGCTCGCGCTTGCGTGGGTCGCGAAGAACCCCAACACCTCGACGGTCATCCTCGGCGCGTCAAGCCCCGAGCAGCTGAAGGAGAACTTGAAGGCACTGGAGGTCCTCCCGAGACTCACGGACGACATTTTGGAGAAGATTGAGAAGATTCTGGATAACAAACCTGTGCCTGCTGTGCGTGACGCATTTTCTATCTGACCTTTCTTTCTCATCACTGACACCTCGCACGGCAGGAAACCTTTGGACGGCCTGCTCTGGATCGTCATGGTCGCCTTTGAGGGCTCTCGGATTGGAGGCCGAACTTAGGTCGGAAGTAATTATCAATAAATGATATCTTATGGAACGAATGGTTTGACGATGTCTTCTTTGTACATTTTGCGGTCAGATGTGCTCGTCTGAACAAAGTAAAAAGGTTGAAGGTGCCTCTAACCACTGGCTGAGCTTTCTTCTAGATTTGGCTTTCATCTTGTAGCGATGTCTACAACACGACTTCAAATGTTGTACTTCCAGCCTTGGGGTGCAGGTATGTCTGCCACCCTGGCTCTTACATACACCTTTTCAGGCACAAGTTCGATGAAACGTATTCAAGAGCGAGTGTTGGTTCAAGTGACCACTCTCCCTCATCGTACTTTCCGCTTTTAAATAAGTATGTCTTGCCCCGAAACTCTAGCTGACTTCCCACTGGATACTGTGTAGACAATGGAGCTCTCGCTCAGTCTTCCAACCAACCCAGTCAAGAGATTCATACAACTAACTTTCCCAACTTCTACTACCTCCACCAACCGTGCATCTTACAACACCGAATTTGCGCGGTTTCCTGGCTATGGGTGGCACTCAATTAACCGCATCCCCAACAAGCTCCTCATCAAGTTATTATTGCGCACACTGGAAAATGACGACACTGCTGCAGAATCTGAGGAGTGCCCTCCACATGATATATGTGACAGGCACTCTTTCTCGCCTGTCCGATTCAATTCAGACCCAATGATTCTGTCCCAGGGTTGCCAACAATGGAGGAATATCGTTCTCGGTGTGGCTCCGATGTGGACATCGCTGGCGATACATATTTGCCAAGCAAGACGAAATCACGTTGTCCAGCTGCAGACCTGGCTAGAGTGCTCGGGTAACCGTCGAGTTCAGCATTAGATTTCGATGTGAAAAGCTAATGGATTCTCCAAAGCTGTCATTTCTCGCCAGTTTCGGGATATGACGCGCACCAGGATCGAGTCTCTACTTGCATCGTTCCCGAAGCTCATCCCCACGAATACCCAGCACACGTCTGTCGAAACGCCCGAAGTGCGCTATGTCTACCAACCGCTGGAGGACTTGTATATTCTCTTGATAACAAACAAGGCCTCTAATATTCTGCAAGATATCGACACTCTTCATCTGTTCGCGCGTGTTGTATCGGACATGTGCAGGAGCGCAGATGAGCGCGAGATCTTGAAGAATGCGTTTGAATTGCTGGGAGCGTTCGACGAGGTCGTGAGCATGGGGTATAGGGAAAATGTCAACTTGATGCAGGTGCGGAGCGTGTTGGAGATGGAGAGTCACGAGGAGAAGATCCAGGAGATTATTGCAAGAGTGCGTTTCGCCGATACTTGTCGCCCCCCTCTTCCACTGACTATATCTGAAGAACAAAGAAGCGGAGGCAAAGGAAGAGCTCAAGCGTCGGGCGAAGCAACTGGAGATGCAACGCCGGGAGCAGCAACGACGCGCGGCAGGTGCGGGGGGAGGAAGCAGCTATCTTGGTGGTGGGGTTTCGGGGTACTCACCGGTCCCACAACGGTTCGATGCGCCCGAGGCCGCTGCGCCTGTTACTCGCCTGGCTTCCTCGCCCGCTGCTCGCAGCCCGGCCTTCAAGGGTTCCGGTATGAAGCTGGGCACAAAGAAGACGAAGCAAGCAGAGCTCATCGACGCTCTCGGCGGCGATGCCTTGGCCTCCAGTGTCGGATTATTAGAGGTTTCAGCCCCGCCTACACCGTCTGCATCATCTCAGCCTTCACCTATCCAGAGGAGCGATGGACGGGGTGGTGTGCCTGAAGTCGAGGCCGAGAGGTATGTTGGAGATGATCAACTTTTCTTACAGCACTCACCATCTTTGCAGCGTCCACATCGTCATTAAGGAACAAATCAGCCTATCCCTGCTGCGAGATGGGGGCGTTCAATCCATGGAACTCAAGGGAGACATGAACCTCCAGGTCTCCGACGCAGCCCTCGCACATCTCCGCATCGTCCTTTCCACACCTCCGACAGACTTTGGCGGGAACAGCCTCCAGTTCAAGCAGCATCCCAATGTTGCGAAATTCGCCCCGGGACAGGAGCGTGTGGTTGCACTCAAGGACCCGTCGCGCGCATTCCCGGTCGGCCAAAGCCTCGCCGTGCTCAAGTGGAGATACGCCGGCACGGATGAGAGCAACGTCCCTCTATCCAGTAAGTTCCCTTGTATCCGTTCTCCAAGCTTTCTTATTGAAGACTGCTTAGTCAACTGCTGGCCGTCACCTTCGAACGACGGCACATGCGAGGTCAGCATCGAATACGAGCTCGAGAACGAGAACGTCACGCTCTACGACGTCGTCATTTCCATTCCTCTCCCGTAAGTCTCTCTCCATGTTCCAGACCCCAACCACTAACGAGTCCTTTGACCCAGGACCGGCTCGTACCCCACCGTTTCCTCGCATACGGGCGACTGGACCCTCGACCCGGGCTCGCACTCTCTTGCTTGGTCCATCCCGAGTGTCTCTGCAGCAGACGACACGCGCACGGGCTCTCTAATCTTTACAGTCGGCGGGGACGATACGGGGGCGTTCTTCCCTGTTGCGGTTACCTTCGCCGGCGAGGGCAGCCTTGCAGGCGTTGGTATCGCTTCGATCAGCAAAATCAGCGGTGGTGACGATCCGGCGTTCTCTGTAGATGCAGTCGTGACGACTGACGAGTACCTTGTTGTATGAGTGGCTTGGGTGTATGGAGTTGTTTTTTTCTTCTGCTGTTTGATGTGCAGCACTGGCTTTCTTTTTCATAGTTATCGATGTGTGAGAGCGAACGATGACCTGCATGCACAACTGATACTAAAATGGATGTTCAAGTGAACTTGTCAGAATGTCTGGCACATAAGTAATCTCGAGAAGCTGGTAAACACAATAGTCTATTCGGATATGGTGTAACGGCTAACATTGCCGCCTCTCATAAGGCCTTATGCGCGGCAGCTCGGGGTTCGATTCCCCGTATCCGAAACTTTTTGTCACATTGACAGATGGATCAGCGGCTTTCTAAGGGCCTGTTCGGCAGCAACAACGATGTGAGAATCTTACTTCGTTTTTGCCAGTAGATCAGTGCAATCAAAAGTGTGACATTCTGTGACCACGCCTGAGATTTGCGCGCGACGCGTCCAACCATTGCGCTCTCGATGTCTCGTCGCGAACTAGCCCCAGAGCTACGTCACAGGCTATTTCTTGCTGCTGCATTCATGTTCCATTCTGCCGCTACTGCTACTATGCTGTGTGCCAGCCAATGGTACTGGAAACAGCCTTATCACATGTCTGCACTGTCAGGCAAAGTCTGGGTCCAGGAGCTCATTCACGGCCATCCAGATTGCATCAAGCATGAACTGGGCATGCAAGTCAGCCTCGTAAGTTGATTTGAGTTGTAAAAAAAATAGCACTGAAATTGCAGGCTCGGTACTTGATCTTGCAAGAATCTCCATGCTTGAGTGCACCTTTTGTCAATACAGTGTTGACATGAGTTGCCTGCCTCCAGGTCATGGCCTTGAAGTTTCCGCCATCTCCAGCTTCCGATCCGATGAGTGCATAACAAGGTAAGCAAGCAAGATCTGTTCATTGTCACGAGTCCAGCTGGCCTTTCGGGGAACAGGCAGCTGGGGTGGGGTATCAGGTGCCTCAGGTGCATCAGGCAGTTCCGCAGGAGTGTCCCCGCTTCGCGTTGCAGGCATAGGGCTCGAGGAAAAGAGGACGCACTGAGATTTGGCGACTCAGTCACTCAGTGTCACGCGCGTTCTTTTGATCTACCTAATTTGGCCAAAACGATGTAAGATTCTCACATCGTTGTTGCTGCCGAACAGGCCCTAAGCCGTTTAGTTTGCCACAACTGTCCTGCGTATTGATCATCTTTCTTGGACCTTAGGATGGACTACGGCAGGCCTGATATGCTGGATTCCATTACGGAGGACCGGTATCCAGTTGAGTCGCCCCCGTATCTACTTATCTTGGGGGAAGACGAGGCAGTTGCACAATCGGAGGAAAACAAGCTAAGATCTCGCGTGTCTCGAGGCAAGGCTGATGCGAGCGAATTGGACACGCGAGATTTTGTTCTATGCTATCGCAACCTGCGCGTTTTTGACTTCATCGAAGGGTTCCACGATGTGTGTACTCTGTTCGGCTTTTGAAGGCGCGTATTGACCGCGTGTTGGTAGGGATACCTCGATCTGACCGGACGCCATCCACACGTAAGTTCCCTACTTATCACAGAAACATTGGCGATGATTCGATGCCTTTCAGCGCTATATTGACCTTGTCGACCGATTTTCCGCGTATGCGCCAGATCTTGGCCAGGTCAAAAAGCTTGTAACGCAAGTTACCACCGATGGAAAGGACTGGCGTGGCAACATTGTTACTTTTATCGACTACAAGTTCTCCGACGGCGGCGCCGCTTGGGACACTTTTAGGAAGAAGTAGAAGATTTCTTCGCAGTTTACTTTCGGGTCCTTGGAGGATCACACCCGTTCGTACTCTTGCTGCAGCCTGGCCTACTCTGACTCTCTCCACAGGAAGAATCGCGACTGTGCTGGAAACCAACCCCCCGAAGTTCCAGGAGCTTTGTTTAGATCATCTTCCGCCAGAGATCCTCGACCACATCTACGAATTTGCGAGGCTGGGCGATGCGCGGATCCTCTCGAGCACCTGCCGGCGGCTGAACGAGATCGGACGCCGTCACATTTTCCGTGTTGGTGTTGATTCTTTGCTGTCTGAAAGCATGCTGACGTCTACTTAGAGACGCACTCTAGTCTTTGAGCACCCTGATGGATTGCTCGGGAACAAGTCCGACGACGTTGATGTGGCGGATTACCTACCTCTCGCACTGGCATCGTCGGAGCGCCTTAACTCGACAGTCGACTTTCTTCTCGAGCACCCGGAGCTCCTAGACAAGCTCCAAACTCTCACCATCCGAGACCAATGGCTCTCTGGGCTCGCAAGCCCGCGCCCATTCACCTTTTCCTCCGTGGGGTTTGGCGTATATGTCCGCGTGTACCAGGCTTTCACACAGGTGCTGGCTTGCCCGCCTGCGGCCAATCTAACATCTCTGAACCTCTCCAACATTATGCTCACTGCTGAAATTGTCGAGTGCATCGCGAACCTCCAGACTCCAGAGCCTCTATGTGCTGGAACTTGTGGATTGCTGTCTGCCTGAAGACATCGAGGAGGCGCTGGAGTCAGGTGAATACCCGCTGCAGTGGAACTCGGTCTACAATCTCCAGATAAAGATGGCGCAGGACGTTCCGACCCTTTGGCCTACGCTTCTCTTGTGCCCAAATCTCCGGACGCTTTCTGTAATTGACTTCATCGGCGGCGTGATGCAGCTGCCCCATCCGCATGCCGCCCCCGCCCTCTACTTCCAACACCTAACACACCTCACCATATGTGGCGCCGCCGACGCCGACTTGCCACACTTTATCCTCTGGCTGTCATCTGCCACAAGCCTCGCACAACTCACGCACTTCAAATTCACAAGCCCCCGCGGCCTCTTCTATGGCTCCGTCGTCTTGCTCTTGCACATCCTCGCCGAGCTTCGCGCGTTGCTGCAGGTCCTCGTCTTGGAGGGGCTCACGACTGGCGATTACACTATATTTGACCACATCGGCGGCATGTTCCCCAACCTTATCGGGCTCACGCTGGTGTACCGCGCAAGCGACAGGCAGACAGTCAACAGGCCGGCGGCTTGGCCGCACCCCGCATGGATGTACGCGCCGCACCTCGCGGGGCTCACACACCTGCAGTACTTTGCGTGGAACAATGACGAGGGAGGTCTCACCGTGTCCTCCGCCGCCCTGCGCCGCTTCGAGGAGGGGTTCTACGACGAGGCCCACGAGACGGATTACGAGAAATGGGCGGACACGAAGGACGATGACTTCTTTGAGGAGGACCTGAGGGCGAGGGCGAGGGCGAGGATGGCGGGGAAGTCTTTCAAGCACAGATGCATCCCTTGAATGTGAATGGAGAACTTCTCACATCGTCCCACTGGGATCCGGTGAAGTATCGTCACGTATGGGAGAATGACGGCGAGGCTCTCCCACGTCGCGATCGGTGATGTAGTCGACAATGTCAATAACAATCATACGTCCAAGTGAAGTGCAAGAAGTGATATCAGAATGTATATAGTATGTGTCTACCGTCAGTAAAATCGACATACAGTGCCTACTGGCATCAAAGTCCAAAGTTTGTCTAGGTCTTGATAGTCCTTCAATTTGAAATGCCCTGGGCCAGCATCGCATAGACGATGTACGATTTTGATGAGTGCGTCGTTTTGCGAATTAGACAAGCCAGATTCATAGACTATCTCGGCGAATTCAAATTCACTCTGGGAGTGAAACGGCAGCCAAGGCATTGTAGAATGCGGCCTAGGCTCGTCGTCGTCGGTAAAAGACGTTTCATCGACTGGCCGTTTCCGTGAATGAGGATGATACATCTTGCGGATGTCGTTAGTTTGGGGGGCCGATGGCAATGTCGGAGATGTGGCTTCTGCGCCTTTGGTTCTGTGAGCAACATCCACACAAGTATTAATCTCCATGCTGGATCTTTGTGTATCTGCAACGGTTGCACCACGAGAAGAGCTGGCAAGTCTTGGGGGAGGCGGGAGCAAAGGTGGGTCGGCGCAGGTCGTTGAATCGACGGCTGTCCAAAGGATATCAGAGCTTAAGATTCAAAAACAGGGGTGATCCAAGGAAGCCTACTTGTAGCTTTCAACTTCGGGGGATTGAACACTCCGTATCGTGGGAGGATATGTGGCTCCGATGCTTTACTAGAACCTATGGGGTAGACAGTGTGAAGATGTTATTTATGAGAGACAGGATATGAAGACGTCAAGCACAAAACATACCCGGCCCCAGAGTGCTTTTCGGCACGCCCAATTTTGGAAGTGTGTACTCTGAAAAAGTGGCTGAAAGAATGAAACTTGATTCGATGAGAACTCGACTCACGATGATCTGTTTTCGCTTGCTGGCCCGCCGCTCGCGAGGCCAGTCGATACTTTGCTATGAATTCAGCGTCCTTTTGCCGGTTTTCCATATCCTTTCGGCATTTTCGCGCATGGTTCGTGATGCCAGTTGACTTGAGCTCCTTTCCACAATAGTCGCAGAGTCTACTCGATAAATTTCGCATTGTAAACTTGCAGCAAGTGCCTGAGAGTGAATGCGAAGGAGTACCGTGTGGCAAGAGTGTGGACATAGAAATTAACCAACCAACCAACGGTCGTGGAGTTGAGGAGGCCGTGACCTGTGGGAATCGGGTCGAAATCGGTCGGGCTTTTCCGACAGCGGGCTAAAGAAAACAAGCTGGAATTGACAGTTTCGACGGACAAGCTGGAAGATAACACGTTAGCCAGACTTCAGCCTGGTCGAAATCACGATTGTGGCCGTCATTGAACCTCGCTCCTACCATTTTTGGTCATCAACTCGGTGGGATGATAAATGTGGGTGTCGCATCATCTACCAACCAGTAATGAGTCTCGCAAGAATGGCATGAGTAGTATTTCGAGTCTATAGAACACTCTTGTTTGGGAGGATTAGTGTGCGCCACAACCGAGTCATGTGCTGCTCGGCGATAACTGTCGGGCTTCGTAGATAAGATGTCATGTCTTGCACCACTATCAGCGTCGTCATTACCCTCCTCACCTTCACTGTCACCACCATGGTAAATCACCAAAAGCCTCCGCGCTGTGGCCCGTCAATGACATAGTCCAAGGACTTTGTTTCTCAACAGGACTTGGATTCGGCATAGGGCTAGTCCTCGAAATACTAGTGTCTCTTGTCAACAGCATACTCGAATTTGTATGTCGTTTTATTCATATATGCTAAACCCTTCTTTTGACTCCCCACTGCAATTTTTAGGCCTGTAGCCTCATCCTCCTTCCCTGCTTTGCTATTATTTTTATCGTGGGCTGTTGTGCGATTCTGTTTTGCCCTTTGTGACGATGATTATCGCGCGCGGGGATCAAATCCTCA